TGTTGCTGTGCTGGACCTCGGGCAGAGGGATCAGACTTCCAGTGCCACCAGCAGCAGCAGCTCAAAGGTGGGTGAATGAACGGGGACGTGGTCCAGATCATACCAGCAGCATCACTAGAGGGGCAGAAAGGGCTGGTGCCAGGTTTGAGATGAGCTGTCGTGGCTCGATCAAAGTGGTCCACAACTTTGCAGCTGGAGAGGGGATGTTTTCTTTTGGGGTTCCCAGGCTGGATGCAGGAGGGAAAAGGGCTCTGGTCTGATGTTTGCTGGAGGTCGGAGGCAGCAGGGATCCTTTCTCTGGTCCTCCCAAGACTGTGGAGGGGGTGGTGGGGCTGCCCCCAGCCAGGCTGCTCAGCTTTCACTGCTGCGCTGCTTTACTGTTGGGGGGAATGCAGAAAAAGCCTGCTTGTGAATTTTTCTTTTTTTTTTTTTCACAAGTTTCTTTTTGCCAGACCTACTCGCTCCCTCTTGTAAAGGTTCTTCAAGGCATTCAGGGGAGGGAGAGTAAGAAGAGAGTCTAAATTAAGAGCCAGTGAAACGCAGGTGTCTGCAGAGCTAAAGCAGAGCTTTCTAGCGCCGCTGCTGTCCTGTCTGCTCCTGGCTCGGCCCTGGGCGGGAGCGGCCAAGGTGACCTGCCTGAAACAACTCGATAAACTTGTGTTTTAAATGAAAATGTAAGACTGGAGTTGAGTCTTGTTTTACTCCTAACTGGAATGTGTGTTTTGTCTTGACTTTCCAAACGGACCCACTCTGGGAGTGGTGCTGGAGATCTGTGTGCTTGCTGGGACTTGGTGAATTTGTCTCTAGTGGAGCAGTTTAACAGCCATCGCCTGGAGCGGAGACCTCAGGTGTCTCCACCTGTGTCCCCTCACCTCGCTGCGTGGCTTTTGGCAAGTGTCACTGTGCTTTAAATGGCTGTGCAGCATCTGGCAGGCAATGGCTGAGCTAAAGCCCATGGTTTCCCAAAGCTGCCCAAGGGTTGGGAATGCGTCTCTCCTACTCATCTTGTGGAAATGGAGCTTCCATGCAAAAGGATGGGTGGAAATGTTGACATCCATGTATGGAAGGGACACCAAGAATGTGAAATACAGCACCAAAAAAGGGTGGGGAGGTGCTTCCTTCCCCTGCAGCTGCAGCCACTGCTCCCTGGGGATGGTGTCCCTGGACTTGGGAGTTGCCGAGGAGGTGGGGGGGGGGCTCACGTAGAGCTTTGTGCTTCTTGCTTGCCTGAGTCCGCACGTCTGTCCTGCTAGGGATTTTTGGACTTCAAGCAGCTAATTCTTGTTTGAGTCTTAACCCGCTTGGGATGTGCCCCCGTCGCATGGCAGTCAGCTGCTCCCACTGATGCCCATCGCTGGGTCTCGGGGCTCTGCTCCTCTCCCAGTGGGTCAACACACGTAGCACCACCCAGGGCCGCTCGATGTCCGAAACAGCACAGCCCCCCCCGCCTCCTCCCACGCTGTGGTTTTAATTAAAGTCTCTGTGTTTTGCACCAGTGACTGTGTTGGTGTCTCTCAGACTGGGGTTTGCTCCTGCTTTGGGAGCAGAGCCAGCGAAGCTGATGAGTGGAGCCTTCGGCACAGGGAACAGGCTTTGCGGAGGCACTTGCCATGTCGGTAGTTTATCTCTTTCTTGCACCAAAATGGACTCGTTATTTAACTGCATGAATCAAGTATGTCCAGTCTGTCTTTGTATCCTTCCTAGGAGTCTTTCTGTCACATAGTATGCTTTATTTATTTATTGAACTTCTTTGCAATGTCCATCCTTCTCTCTCTCCCCCGGCTCGGATTTGGCAGGTAGGTGATGTGCGAAGCCTGGTCCCAGGCCAGCAAATACCTCCTGAAGATCAGAGACTGTTGTAACCAAAGGACGTTTGAGCCTTGTTTCTGAGGAAGGGTGAGAACTGGAACCTTTTTCTTCAGATGTTTTCCCTGCCCTGCTATAGAGGCTGACTCAGGACTTCCAACACCAGTTTAGCTCAGCAGCTTTGTTGGATTTATATAGAAAATTATACCTGGGCCTTCTCATGAGCGGTTGGAGCCAGTGTAGATGTCCTTAGCAAACGCTGGTTTTCTTGTCACTGGGTTCTATCTTCTCTGTCAACGCAGGCCAACTGTGTGAGTGCATGTTGCTAAAAGTGGCAGCAGCATGGAGGGATGGATGGTGAGCAGAAATGTCATCTTGGATCACAGATGTTTTCTTTGAAAGCACTTGAATTCATCTTGAACATGTCCCTTGGTGAACATGATGCGCGGCGAAGGGGAAGCAGACGTAGCATGGGTTTCTCACCATCTTCCCGCCCAGCCCACTGACCAAGCCAGTTTTTTTTTAATTCAATTTTCAGAACTGGATCATTCAGGCTTGCAATACGTAGGCCCGTTGGTGTTTCTGTTTAACAGCTGTTGCTTTTACATGGGGTGCGTTTTGCAAATCACCGTCGACCTTCCCTGTCTCTTTCTTCGCAGCCCTCCTTTATAAACGATTGTTCGCGGCAGCCAGTAATAAATGAAGTAAGAGTTAAGAGAAGCAGCCTCGTGCAGTGATAGTAGTAAAAGAATAAAAAAATAGAACTGTTTCATGCCATTGTTGCTGTGTGAACTTGTCCCTGGTGTGTGGCTCAGTTCCATTACGTAGTGCTGGGTTCCTGCTATTAAATAAACAAAAGAAGTCCCCGCTGCAGGACCAGCGTCCGTTGGGCAGCAAAATCTGAGCTGGCAATTTCCAGGACAAAGAAATACTATGGAAGACATACCCCAAGGAACTGGTGTTGAACCATACAGGAGCCCTGGATGCTGCACTGTGTCTCTGCAACTGCATTGACCTTCCTGAGAGAAGGAAGGAGGCAGAAATAGGTGGGAGAAGATGGAATTGGTGGTTGATGGTAACTACTAATGTAACCTGAACTCTCCTGCTGCCAGTGTGCCAGCGGGAACCTTCTATGGTTGAGCTCCTCATGGGGATCTCATTGCTGCTTCAACAAGGACTCTCCTGGCTCAGATGTAGAATTTAACAGGGCTTTTGGAGGTCATTTCATGCTCTAATAGCCAAGAGAAGACATCTTCATCCTTCAATGTAGCTTCCCCTTCAGTGGATGAGTGCTCTTCCCATTGACATTGGAAGAAACTCCTTGAGCGTCCTGGGGATGGACACGTCTTTCCCTGGACTGATCTTGTAAAAATTGTGCCGAACTTCAAACTAGGATGAGCCAAATTGAAAAAGGGCTGCCTCCACATCAGATTTAGCCAGGGCTGAAGCATGATGGGCATCTTCAGCTTGGAGATGTCCTCGTTCTGAAGAGCACAAGGCTGTGAGCAGGCTTTGGAGGTTAGAAAAGGCTTTGGAGGGGGTGGAGCGGGTGCTTCTGCTTGCTATAAAAAGCCTGGGCTTGGGAATGTCTGCATCGGCCGGCTCTACGCAGGGCGTAAATACAGTTGTCGCTAAAATTGGAACGAGTCACTCCCCTGTTCCCAGTTGCGACTGTAACACAGATAATAAATAACATCACAATCCCTCATCAGAATGTGCTCCTTAATGCTCGGTGCATGTCAACTCATGGAAACGAGTGGGGTCTTATGGGAACAGCACGGCGGGGCCCTGATCCAGGGGGCACCAAGGTGTGTGTTTAAGTCCTCCTGAGCACATACTCGCTTCCTTTTACAAACATGGATTAAGGATGTGCTCACGGATTTGTGGAGTCTCTAAATGGAGGAAGGAAAGAAAGCAGAGGAGCAGTTCCTTATCAGTTCTTCCATTTCTAAGACACACGGGAGATACAAACGCAAGCAGACTGCACTGCACAAGTCAAGGTACCCAAATTATCTATTTTGACATGATTTCCTCCCTGTTTTATGTGTAGAAACAGTTTTTTTGGGGGAATGGTGAGGTCTACAGTGCTGGACCTCAGCCTGGTGAACAGTTGTGTCACTGCAGACCACTTCATGTATGAGTTAATGAGGTACACCAGCACCGCGCTTCTACAGCCTTCGCGTAGACACAACGCTTTGGGTTTCAAGTGGTAATACTGCTAAAGGAAACAACTACTGCAAAAAGAGCAAAGCGTGCCAATGTTCCTCAGAGTCAGTATGTCCTGTAATGGCTAAAAGTGATGTAAACTCGACTGGAGTGTTGGTTAGAAAGATATTCCAGCTAGATGGTAAGATGCTGGAGTGTATTCTTTCATTGGATGCTAGGTGATCGCTGAAAGCAACTGCTCTGCAAAGGGACTTTTCCATGTTCAGA